ACAAATGCGCTTTACACAATTGATATATGTATGGATTTTGATAAGAGTTGTATGAGCCCCTAACCAAATGATTTAAAAAAATCACTTGGATCGGAAAGTTGAGAGTACTGCTACGAATCTTATTTCAAACTTTGTAAACGGCATACAGGCCCCAATTGACATTCACAATCCACGAATAACTGTTTGGGTTATTGGGTTTATAGAAGGATGAAATAAAAACATTTGGTATCTCAAATATTTTGTGTCAACCGTTCAAAGAGCTGTGTAGCTGCAGCGATTGGATACAGTGGCTGCAGCAATGAGGTCGATCAAGCACAACATGATTTGGAGGGTGGCACAGAGCTAAGAAACATTTCACTCTGTTGTGCATAAGGTTACTTCGAGTCAGAACTGACGCAAGGCATTTAACAACAATAACGAAGTTGTTCAAAATATAAACACCTACTACGTAGTTTGGACCTGTTGTTCTTAGGTTCAGCCTCACAGTTACCTCATGGATAACAGAAGGAAACACTGCCTGGCTCGGCAGCATCCTTGCGATCCTTATAAATGGAAGAGTTATTTCTTTTAGCCTAGGAACACTGTGAAGGAAAAAATCTCTCAACATCAAGAATGCCAAGAACCACGACAGTTTGGGAATCTCTGCTTAATTTCACTGTCAGTCTTCCAAGAAAGCGCCCTAGAATTTTGGAACCTAATGATATTGATAATGCGACTGATGAAAATAGCAGTAGTTCTTATAGGAGAAGCTTACATATATTGAGAACTTACTATGTGCTAAGGGTTTCTCAGCTATTGCTTCACATACCTGCCTTATGAAATGTGTGTGAAGGTTTGTGATAACCCTGCTTCGACCAAGTCTACCAATGCCATTTTTTCCCAATAGCGTATTATCACTTCACATCTTCAAACTTTATCATGATGCACACTACACTATAGTGTAAATATAACATTTATATCTACTTGGTCACTGGAAAATTCATACAATTTGCTTGATTTCAATATGGACTTTATTATAGTACTCTGGGACCAAACTTGTAATATCTCCAAGCTATGTGAAATTAGTCAGTTACAACGTGATAGCTATTTTAGGGCACTGTTGTTAAAAATTGGGGGGAAAGACAAAGACTTTCATATCAAAGGGACAGTTTGGAGGCTCCCAAGGAGGGGAGGGCCAGGGAGAAATGAATCGATACCTCAGGGATTGAGAGGTATTGATTTGGGATCAAGGGGAAGATAGTAATCCACTAGAGGGAACGGAGAAACCCAAGGAAGTGGGGGCAGGGTAAATGAACAAGCGGGGATTTAAGTGGAGAGAAAATGTTTTGAGAATGATGTACAAATGTGCTTTACACAATTGATGTGTGTATGGATTGTGATAACAGTTGTATGAGCCCCTAATAAAATGTTTTTAAAAAAAACAAAAACATTTAAGTACACGCAATTGGATGGATAATACAGTCAATTCCTGAGATGGGAATCATGAATTCAGTAAATTGTGGTTGGCATCTCGCTAAATGTGATGAACAATGGAAAATAGCAATAAGAAGAGTCATCATGAAGTGAGCCTTTATCATGTGTCGGCCATTTTATAGGTGCCCCATATACGTTATCCTTATGAATCTACTACACAACTCAGCCAAACTAGCTGCCCAAACAACATACAGTGAACCCTCGTTTATCGCGGTTAATCGGTTCTAGACCCTACCGTGATAAATGAAATTCCGCGAAGTAGGATTCCTTATTTGTAAATCAAATATTTTCGTGGTTACAGCATAGAGGACATGAAAAAACACCCTTTAGTCACCATTACACTCGTATTATCCAATTTATTAACGAAAAAGGGAAAATACAGTAAAACATTTTGGACGTTACAATGATCATTTATTATTTATTATATTATTTATGGCATCAAGCGTGTACAGTATGTGCCAATCAGTGGCAGTAATGACAGAGCATGCGCTGTTACGCAAAAACCGCGATAGAGTGAAGCCGTGGGAGTCAAAGCGCGAAGTGGCGAGGGTTCACTCTAGTTCAATCGTCTGGTAGCATGAGTAGTGTCGACTGTTTCAAGGGAGAAAGTCAATGAGGACAGTGTGGACAGAGAAGACGTACATGAGAAATGGTAGGTGTGCTGAGGTCCGCAGGTTGTGAAGGGTTTGTGTTGCAGGAAGGCCTTGGGAGGAAGGTCTGAGAAAGGAATTCAGAAACTAGGTCCTGGAGGCAGAATGGGCCTGACGTCATCAGAAAGGTCACGTAGGAAAACACTGGAGAAAACGTTTGGATAGGAAGGGAGGGGTGCGATGATCAAAGCCTTTGCAAGTCTAGAGTTCAGATGTTACAGTGAGAAGGAGCCAGTCTGAAAGGAACATGACTTTACAGGGCTTAGGAAAACCTGGTCGAGCCACCGGGGAGCTGGTGCGACCACGTTATTCACATTCAAGTTACCCAGGTAACAGGTCGAGTGTTAGGGGAACCTGAAGGAGACCTCCAGATGACGTCAATTCGTTTCAAACGAGAGGAAGATGACTAACGTCTCAGGAATGGGCTGAGGGGAATGGGAATGGGAAAAACAGAACCCGAAGGAAATCTGTAACAGAATCACAGACTGCAACCCGCCCTTCCCGGGGACAGCATCACCTGGGAAGTGAGCTCTGGTGCGCCATGGTTACACACACACAGCTGCCACCTCGGAAGTCCTATGGGATTTCCAAGGACTTGGAAGGAAAATAACTGGATGGAACCGAACATGAACAACAAGTCTAATTATACCGTTTCCCCGAAAGTAAGACATCCCCTGAAAATAAGGCCTACTTACAGTTTTGCCTCTTGCTGAAATATAAGGCAGCCCCCCGAAAATAAGACCTCCCTGAAAATAAGGCCCCCACCCCCGAAGCTACTGTAACTCTGGACTCTGGACCGTAGGGCCAGGTGCTGCCGTGCAGCTCACTGTTGGCCACAGCGCAGCTGGAGCAGACAGGAAGTGCGAGGTCTCGTTTAATAAAACAATAAACAATCAATGTGTACCGTATTCTTCTTCGTGGAAAAATAAGACATCCCCTGAAAATAAAACCTAGCGCATCTTTGGGAGCAAAAATGAATCTAAGACACTGTCTTATTTTCGTGGAAACAGTGTTTTATGTGAACTATGAATCTGTTAAGCATATTACCATCTTAAGATGCGTTTCTACTTGTTTGACACAGAACTCATTTAAATTCCAAAAAAAAAATATACAACCCCCACCAAAACATTACAGTGGATGAAAGCCTAAAAATGATGATGGATTTCATGGAGGAATAAGGTTTCATAAAAATCAGGAGACTAAACTGCGGCATTCCACTGAAGAAAATAGCGTACACATCATGAGAAACATCGTGTTCTTGATAGGCAATTGGCAAAACAAGACGCTTTTTCCATTCCGTCCAACGGTTACTTCCTTACACATGCCCTGAACAGTTGCTTATCAGCAATTGAGCTTTGGGTTCAACCTTTTAGAAATAAGGGCTTTGCTCCCTGACTTGATCAAGTCATTTAATCACACTTTTTAAATTCATGTTCCTCAAAATGTGTTTAGTGGAAGGAAAAGGAATGTGTTCTAATTCCAGCAACCCCACGGGCATTCACTTGATTTTGAACAGCATATGAGACGATATTGGTGACTTGGTGGAATGGAGGGGCAATGTGAGGGGGGTCGAAATAACGCTGAATAATCTTTCTAATTCTCTTTTCCTGATTTATCTTGTGGAAATACAGCACCTCCTTGGACCCCCCCTTGTGAACGGCCCCTGATGGTGCCACCTGGGTCATATGCCATGTGCAGTCAGCAGTGAACAGCCCCTTGTAAGTGTCTTTAGTATTGACAATGTGGGTGGGTGCACAGTCTCTATGAAACGGCATCTAACATGGTTAAACCCTGGGGTGTGGAGTCAATTCAGACTCACGGTGACCATAAAGGGTAGAGGTGAACTGCCCCATAGGATTTCCTCAATCTGTCTGGAGGCAGGCTGCCGCAGCTCTCTCCTGCAGAGCAGTTGATGGATTCTGGTGAGCAGCCCAGTGTTTTAACCTCTGCATCCCTTAGAAGGCCCCTGCTTGGGAGGGAGGGGGAAATGGGGACCTAATGCCAGGGGCTTAAGTGGAGAGGCAATGTTGGGAGAATGATGAGGGCAATGAATGTACAAATGTGCTTTACACAACTGATGTAGGCATGGATTGTGATAAGAGTTGTATGAGCCCCTAATAAAACGATTAAAAAAAGAAGGTCCCTGCTAAATCGGTTAGGACACACCCAATCCTCTCATGGTGGCCTAACAAGCACATAAAAGGGTGATAGATAGTTATCAATTTCATTGTTCAGCATTCCCTAATGGCAGTCTCCAGTGGTCTGAAAACTTAGATGAAAGATGTACATGTTATAGCTATAACGTCATAGCGTCAAACTGTTTTCTAGTGGGGAAAGCAGGTTTTCATTCTGAATCGGCACTTGGGCTAACACCATATTCTCCCCAGATAATAAACATCGTATGTAAATGTTTTGTAAGGAACTGATTTCCACGGAGGACAATGACTTGTTTTGCCATTTCAAAAAAAAGAGAAAAGCTTTGTCAAATGGGGCTCTGACTTCAGGTGCTTGTGTAACCTTGACTTCTTTTGCATCTTGGGAGTTGGGCATTTTCACAAATGTTTACTGTGCAGCCTGAAGCTGGGGGCTGGCTGTCTTGCAGGGTGTTTTCTTAAGCTGCCCCCCTGTCTCTGCTCTGCCAATTACGTGCCACTTTGTCCCGGTGCTCCGACTGCGTTCTTCGGCGAGGGAAATTCCTTGTTCTTCAGTATGGATGCACTGTTTTCACACACTGCAAATGCCGTGTTGCCGTGTCACTCATCCTATTAGGGCCCGTTTCGGAGGAGCAGGGCTGACGAACTGGCTGCCGATTGGCTGGCCGCCGCGGGGCGGGGTCTGCCCGAGGGCAGGGCTGCAGCGTTACAGCAACAGAGTTTAGACTGTCTTTGCTTCATCATCTACAGGCAAAAATTTTCCAGATCCGGCCGGCGGCTCTCGGAGTACAATCAATAGGGAGCGAGGACTGTTTACACGGGCGCGTCTTCCTCCTGCTGCAGCGCGAAGCCTTGGCTACTGGATCCTGCCAGATGTTCCTGGGGTTACTGTAAATGGGGAGGACAGACAGGGAACCAAGGTAGGCGAATCAAACCGCACCCCCCCCACCTTTTTTTTCTTTAATGTTTAAAGAGTTTGCTGCAGTATTGCTGCATTCCATGTGTGTTGCTTAGGGGAGCCGGGGAAACCGGATTTACACTGCTGCAAATGGAGTAGTTGCCGGGGACCCTGGACTTTTACGTAACATTTTGATTTGAGGAAAAAGATAGGGCAAAGCGTGACTCTAAGCCGCCTCTTGAGGGTGAGGCCGCAAATCGAGTTTTGTGCCAATCACAGATCCATTTATTATGCTTTTTAAAAAGTCATTTGGATTACTGGGAGCATTCTTATTTTCCTGTTACAGAATATTTTCACATTGACATAATTAGCTCCCAAATAGATAAAGTTACAATGCTTCTATTATTTGGGAACAACGCTGGAATTAAGGGGGGAGGGGGGGCCCGCACAATGGTAAAAAAAATCAGCAGAATATTTGGTCAAAAAGAAATAGGCCTATTTATTAAGTTATGAGGTACCGACCAGGCTCGAAAATCCTATGGCTTTCATTGAGTTTGAAAAGCACATTTTAAACGACCTAACAAGAGGTAGCTTTATGGCAAGTTTTCGAGACTGTAGTCCAATGTTTACATTTCTTTTTCTGGCATGTCGGCGTCTTTGTTTCCAGCTTAAAAGTGGAACCATTGAATTCAAAAGTATAGCTGGGTTAATAATGCTTACTGCAATTATCTGATCTTTATGCATTTTTAATGAGAACACACAGCCAGCAGAATAATTTAATGAGGGCAGGCTAGCTTTTAAAGCTGTGTTTTCCCTCTGCCGACCCATATCAACTTTCTTGCCGAGAAACAACAGTGAGAAATGATCGAGAGGGTTTTATTTTTAACACACTTGGCCCAAGAGAAGGAAAGGATATATTTGTTAAAATATTCTGTCTGCCCTTTTCCTTTTTAAATTTCTGCCAGCCAGGAGGAAACTGTGCTTTTTTGTTAGGCCTTGGGAGCATGTGTTTACAATAAATGTGTAACATTTTTAGAATAGTTAGCAAGCACTGGCGCAAAGGTGGGGGGCCGTGGGGGGTGGAATCTTGACTTTTCAAACAACTACCATGGTGAACATTCTTCCCAAAACATTCCTGTCCCTTTAAAGGCCAGAGATTCAGTGGAGAGATATTTGTAAATTGGGTAATAAGTGCATGGTGGGGACAATAAAGTGTTTGTGGGGGTGGGGGAGGAGGAAAGGGAGGGGACATTTTTATAATCTTTAAATAAGCTGGAGTTTCTTTAGCTAGCTAGTCGGTGGGTTTTGTGTGGAGCAGAGCATTCGATTCAATGAGGACCATGCCACGTAGATTCTTCTAGACCCACTGTTTTCACTTTCAAGGAGAGGTGCAGGACACTAGCCCAGAACTTCTGACGTCATCTTCCAACTATTTCTGCTGTGGGCTCCATTATTCAGGCTCATGGAAAGGAATATTTCTTTTATGTCCTGGATTGGAGCATTCTCACTCCTGGTTGGTGGGTCGGGAGTTATGGCTACATATTTTGGCTTGTTTTTTCTACACCCTAAGCAGATCCCCCTGCGTTAATAGGCTGTCGTCTCTCTCATACCTGCCTCCCACTGGGCAGGTCCACACAGGTTTTCTGCAGGGTTCTTTCAGGCTGGGTTGACCAAAAACACACACACACAAAACCCTGCAGAAAACAGCTTCTTCTTGCCCACCTTTCCCTGGGCACAGCCCCGAACTGCCCTTTCTGTAGACAGTCCCCATACGCTCACTCTGAGTCCCACCAGACCCGTTATTTTGGAGGCCAGTTTATACCCCAAGTTCACGGCTGGCTGTGACGGTGGTAGCAGCTGCTTGTGTAAAATGCAGCTGTTGCCATTGCCACACCACCATGTTCCAGTCCAGATGGACCGAGGGGAAGGGACGTACATACTGCAGCCTGTGAATACAGTGTCACAGGTGGCAACCTTGGCCTTACAGACAGGGTGGAAGGTTGGATAGGAATAAGGCGCCTTTTAAAGACGATTTTGATTGGGACAGATTGGAGTAGTAGGGATTCCCCGGTGCCTCTTCTATCTACTTGTGTAGCCTTGGGCAAGTGCCTGCGTCAGTTCTCCGACTCTTAAGAGAAACGAATAACAGTGACTCCACTTTTCCTCATAATTTTAGCATTTCCAGAGAATTTGACCTTGTGCCAAAAGGGGGGAAAAAGTTGTTTATCTCTTGGTACAATGAGCTATTTTGAGTAAAAAGGGATAAAGCCTTGGTATTAGTGAAATTATAGGCAAATCCTTTAGGGTATTAGGATATAGAATCATATACACAAAACCCTTCTTGACACTTCTTGCATGTGTGCATTTTCTGGGAGCATTTATTCTCAGCCCAACAAATGAAATTTCTAAGGCTTTTGTTGCTGCCCACCCTACCCCCACCCCCACCCCATCGCTCAGAGCTGTGCACACCAGACTAGACCCAAGAGAGGCCTCAGGGCACCCAGAGCATTTAGAGCTATTTTGCTTCAACTTTTGTATTACATTTGTGAAAGTAATATGAATACGAGGGAAGGCAGAGGAAAGGGGAGGGGGGGGGAATAAGCCTGCGAACTATACCAGTGATGTAGCTTTCCTGCCTTGCATCTGCTAGTTGTTTTAATTTGCTGTTGCTATGGTGAAAACAAATCAATACCACAGGGCTACCAGCCAGTCCTGAGCGACAGGGGCGCCGCTAGAAATTCACCATCGAGTACCGGCCAGTCCAAGCAAGGAAGCCCTAGAAGATTTAGCCCCCGGAGCTGAAGAGGATGTCTTACGATGGACGGAACGGGCTCGATCTTGGCATGTAGTTTCTCTCTTTCCTCCTGCACCTTCCTCTTGGTCACAGGAGAAGATGGAAAAGAAAAGTGTAATGCTGTGTTTAGATTGTCCAACATGACAAGGCATTGTCCACATCGGTGCCGGCTGGTAACGTGGCAAGGCTTCTGTGTTAAAGACACCATGGGTTGCCTGCAGGGCTTGCTGGCTCTGGAGGCCACCACCGGGTGGGGAGCAGTTCATCGAGATGTGTCAGGCAGAGAGATCTGGCAACTCTAGGAGGCAGCCAGGGCGGGGTGTGGAGCAGCTAGAAGGCAGGCAGGGCAGGGTGTGGAGCAGCACGCAAGGAAAGAGAAAGCTCAAACCAAACCCACCCAATGCCCTGGAGGCAATCCCCACTCCCTGTAGCTGGGGAGCAGCACCACCTCCCAGGACTTGCAGGGCTGTAAATCTCTATGGGAACAGGCTGCCACATCCCCTCTCCTGGGGAGCCGCAGCTTTCAGCTGGCAGCCAAGTGTTACCCAGTGCACCACCAGGACTGCTTCTTGGATAGATCGGGAAGTAGAGAGTGCTCGTGGCAGCCAGCCACAAAGTCCTGAGAACATCATGGTTCAAAAGTCAGAGGAGGTGACCAAAGGACCCAAGTAACCTACCAGAAAATCTGCCCGAGGCCTACCCTTCAGGCAGAGGTGGCTGCCGGACAAGCCAAGGAAGGCATTAGGAACCTGGGCTCTCTCTTCGAAAGGGCAGCAGAACCAGGTGGGCCGGTGTGCCCACCGCTTGTGGAGCGGGGAATTTGATATGTCAAGCTTTGATTTCTCTCAGAACATGGCAGGCAGTCTAAGCTGGGCTTTGACAATGAGTTATCAATATAGATTTTCCTCCAGGTTTCTAATCAGCTCCGTGTTTTCCTTCTGCTGTTTGCTTTTGCGTGTCTGCAAACTGCTCGTGGCAAAGGTGACAGTATTCTTTAGTCAGGGTTCAAACTGGTCGAATGCGCTGCGAAGGCTGAGCCTGCATCAGATCTGAGCTTCCAGTTGCACTGATCTGCTCAGCAGAGATGAGTCTGAGGGTGGAAACGGGCTGAGGGAGGCTGGGGAAGGGGGGAAGCTGAGCTGGAGGGGTGGGGAGGAACTGGTGGATGCTGTGGGGACAGACCAGCTCCTCTCAACATGACAGAAAGGCTTGATCTTAAGTGGGCATCACCATTTACCTTCCTACCTTGACAAAGCAGGTATTGTCTGAGGGATGCCAGACCGGTGTAGTGCATCAATCAGTTAACAAGTGTTTATTAAACACCTCTTGGATTCCTGGCTTTTGCTATTTGGTCAGTTTACCAAGTTAGTTAGCTATGATTACTTGCCTTGATGTGGCTGCAAAATACATTATTCCAAGCCATGACTTTCAAAGATCACAATCCTACCGTCATTGGCTGATGTGCACTTAGTGTTCACTCTCAGTTCGAGGGAGACTTGATGTGAGTCATGCCAGGGAGGAGTTCTGGAGTTTTCGGTGTGTCCGTGTTAGCACTTCCTTCGCTTCGCCTCTGTGATATTTATCAGCACGCTGTTTAAAGCACACAAAGATGTAAAATGAGTAATTGACATATGAGAAGACTATGAAAATCCAAAATATAAGACGACTGAGAACAATCTCTGAGTCCCAGTCAGCCCCATCTCAGTCTCTGCCTGACCAGGAAAAGCCTGACACTTTCGTCAACAGCAAGAAATCTTAGACCCTCACCCACACTTGGGAACGGATGCCTGCCGAAGCCCCATGTAATGATCTCACCTGCCCATCTCCAGCCAGGAAACCTGATTCCTTTCTCTGGAGGATTATACTTTCCCTTTTTTTTTTTTTAAGGTTGAAGTAAACCTCAAACACAGGTTTACTTTAAAATATGCATATTTTTAAAAAAACACTTTTTTAAACGCAGACATGTTAGTGTGTAGTCTCTGTTTACAGATACGTTATGAGGTCAAAACTCTGTTTAGGGAAGAGAAGGGAGTAGAGGCTGAGGATGTAGGCAGACTCTGATGCATGAGAAATAAAGTTCTGATGCTGCCCCATGGACAAACCTTGCAAACATGGTGCTGAGTGAACAGAGCCAGTCACAAAAGGACAGATATTGTCTGAACTCAACAGAATAGGCCAACCAATGCATAATGATCTCTAGTGACTGCCAGGGCACAGAGGAGAAAGAG